TAGTTTATTTTTGACAAATTCAAATATATGTGTAATCAAATTTGTTTTCAGTAGAAAATAGAGGATTTTTTGGTTATCTGTTTGTTGGTTGGGTTGTTTGGTATCCGAGAAAAGAAAGGAAAATATTGGTCATGCTATTAATTTGTCCAATTAATTAAGAATTAATGACAATTACTTTTATTTTTTTGCCATCTTCAATTAATTTCATTATTAACAGATTATTGTAAAATAAATAAAAAATTACTATGAAAATTAAATTAATCAGATTTAATTACAAAATGTATTTTTGTCCAAACAGACAATTATTTATATCTAATCCCACTGTATCCCAAAAGTTAAGCAAACATTAGATTGGATTCAAAAAATCACATCCTATCTAATCCAATCTAATCCAACCCTATAAATCTAAACCAATTCTGTACTCCAAACATGCTGTAATAAGATGGTTAATATGAAGCATAATAAACATTACTATTAATTAATTCATTCATCAAAAATGAAAAGAAGTTCTCTCAAAGAAAATCAATTAGTAACCTTCCAGAAAATGAATAGCAATCCTAAAAAAAGTGCAAAGAATTACCGATATTCCTCCAATCACCAAAAGTGCTGCATAACTTGGATGAAAAACACAAGAATGGAACTGGTTCCCATTAGAACTAAACTCTTGAATGCAATCCCCTGAAGACACTGACCATATTTTTACCAAGTTGTGGCTCACAGATGCCAAGTTATCTCCATTTGCATCCCAGCAAATATAATTAACCATTTCAGAATGCCCCTGCAAAAATAATAGAGAATATAATTAAAGATGGAAAACATTTCAAGAATGGCATTAGAATTTTAGAATGATTCCTTCTCCATATTACTAACGTAAGGTTAATGTTATACATGCAATACCTGAAATGAGTATGTTTGTCTGTCAGCTTCAACATCAAAGATAGACACTATTTTATCTGAAACAGCTGCCAGCAACTGTCCAGTTCTTGGTTGAAATCTCACTTGAGCAGTACCTCCCTACAACAAGAAAAATATTGAAATTATGAAAAGGAAGTATTCAAACCAGCTTAGCTGTTCAAAAAGATAGTTGGATAATAGACAGAAGAAAAGGAGCAGCTAACCTTGGAGATTCGACTGCATGACAATGTATTGAGATTGCAATATCGGATTTCATTGTCATTGTCACAAAAACAGAATATGTCTGTTCTTTTAGGATGGAAGTCTAGGGACATAACTGGTGAACTGTGTGTATATGCTGGCCCACAATAGTTTGGCTGTGACGATAAGATCATGAGGTCACTAGGCAGTATAAAAAAGAATCTCTATTTACTTTATATAGCATCTACCACTAGGTCTACAATTCAAGTACTTAAGATGGGTACAGTTCTAAGTAGAGAAGTTAGGAAAGACGATTACATTGGCAGCATCCCATACTCGCACAGATTTATCAACTGAAGCTGTTGCAAGCTGAGATGAATTTGGCCTGAAGCGAACATCTGTAATAACTAGTTTGTGTTCTTCAGGAGTACTCTCTGTTTGCAGGGTATCCATATTCCAAAGGACCACCTAATGCAATCAAAAAAATAATTGTCACCATCCTATATTTGTATTTGATAACCATTATTTCTTTAACTTCCCAATTTTCCTTTTATGTTTTCTCCGCTAAACGGTATAACCTAAACAGATTCAAAAGGATTACTATGTTAGCCCACAAATAAGCACAGATCATCCAACTCATCTTAGGGATGGTATCTAGGGCACCTTAGAAGGTGGTATTGTGGCATTTAGGCCAACCACCAATCAGTTTTATTTGCCGCTTTTCACTCTCTCTAGACAGAGGAACCTAGAGGGGAAAAACCAACATACTCCAATTGACTTTGAATGGTTCAGATTCTAAAATCAGGCAAAAATTTAATTACTCATGCACCATGCAATCCACCTTCTTGTCATGTCCAGCACTGGCTAGCAGCTTCCCATCTGAAGAGAAATGACAGCAAGTAACTTTGCTATTTCTGCTTCGTATGCAACCAACCTCACCAAAGGTGAAACCTGAAAAGAAAATAATGGGGTCAGCTCAGCAGAATGCATGCAAATAAAAAGCACTCAGATGGAAATGAGTGCTTACCCTTAGAAGACTCCTTTTGG